TCACTGATGAGGGGGAGCCTGAAAGCCTTAAAGAGGTCTTGTCACATCCAGACAAAGACCATTGGCTGAAGGCTATGCAAGAGGAGATGAATTCTTTGAAGAAGAATCAAACATATGACTTGGTGAAGCGTCCAAAAGGGAAGAAAGTATTGAAGAGCAGGTGGTTGTTCAAGAACAAGAAAGATGGCCATAAGCTAGTGAGACGGAAGGCAAGACTGGTGGTGAAGGGATGCCATCAGAAGAAAGGCATCGACTACGATGAAATTTTTGCTCCAGTGGTGAAGATGACTTCCATTCGCATGATTTTGGGACTAGCGGCTTGTTTGGATCTTGAGCTTGAGCAGCTTGATGTAAAAACTGCATTTTTACATGGTGATTTGGATGATGAAATTTACATGGAGCAGCCGGAAGGATTTGAAGTTAAAGGAAAAGAGAATTTTGTTTGCAAGCTAAAAAAGAGTCTTTATGGGCTTAAGCAAGCACCAAGGCAGTGGTACCATAAGTTTGATTCCTTCATGAGTGGTAATGGGTACAGGCGTACTACTGCAGATCCTTGTGTGTATTTTAGAAAGTTCTCTGATGATAACTTCATTATCCTTTGTTTGTATGTTGATGATATGTTGATAGTGGGACAAGATGTTGAGATGATTCGCAGGTTAAAAGAGGATATGTCAAAGTCCTTTGAAATGAAAGATTTGGGTCCTGGGAAGCAAATTCTTGGCATGGAAATTGTTCGTGATAGAAAAGCTGGTAAGCTTTGGCTGTCACAAGAGAAGTATATTGAACGGGTGCTTGAAAGGTTCAATATGAAGAATGCCAAGCCGGTTAATACACCACTTGCCGGTCATTTCAAGTTGAGCAAGCGTTCTTGTCCTAGTTTTGAGAAAGAGAAGGAAAACATGTCTAATATTCCTTATTCTTCTGCTGTTGGTTCATTGATGTACGCTATGGTGTGTACAAGGCCAGATATAGCACATGCTGTTGGATTGGTTAGCAGATTCTTAGCTAATCCAGGCAAGATTCACTGGGAAGCTGTAAAGTGGATCTTGAGATATTTGCGGGGCACCTCAAAACTGAGTTTGTGTTTTGGAGGCGGCGAGCCTATTCTTGAGAGATTTACAGATGCTGACATGGCTGGAGATCTTGATAACAGAAAGTCTACCTCAGGTTACTTGTTTACATTTGCAGGGGGAGCCATTTCATGGCAATCCAAGCTACAAAAGTGTGTAGCTTTGTCAACAACTGAGGCAGAGTATATAGCAGCAGTGGAAGCGGGCAAAGAGATGATTTGGTTGAAGCGTTTTCTTCAAGA